ACCCTAAACCCTAACCTAAACCCCAAGCCCTGCAAAAAAAGACCCGAAGAACTCAACTGAAGCTTCCTCAGCTGCTCCGTAGTTCTCGAACCACTATACTATACAATGGGTTTAGGGGCTTAGGGTTTAGGGGTACTATGCTATAATGTAGGGGGGCCTTAATAATTAGAATTGGGTTTTGGGGTAGATTATACCATAATTATAGTAAGAACTCCCCAGAATGGTATAGGTTACTATGAAGGCCCCTATATTGGGAAAAGGCCGTAAGCCCTGAACAAGGTTCGAGTTAACTATATAAGGAGTCTAACTCGAGTCACCAACTCAACCATTTACCATGGATCCCCTCTAAGGTTAACTTAAACTAAGTTCCTCAACAAGAACCCCCAGAACATTAAAACAAAAACATAAAAAAAAAAACTGAAGCGTAGGTCCATGATCGCACATCTAAGCGATGAAGCCTGAACTGGCGAGCCTGAAACCCTTTAAAACCTGGCTTAAGGTTTCTGGCGGCTCAAAGTTGAGGTCGTAACTTGATCCGAGTACTTTGTTGTCTGTTGAGTTTTCATGTTAAAAATACATCAAACCCCCAGGATATAGACATTTTCACGAAACAAGGTTTCGGTCTATGCGGCCCGCGACGGAGAGGCCGCACTTAGGCTCTGGCAGGGCTCGGTATGGACATTGATGGACTGGGGCTCCGTTGTCCCGCGGCCTCGGCAGGGTCGGCAGGGTTTCGGGTTTGTTTCCGCATGCTTCAAAGCCACTCAGGTCTGATTCGCCTTCACATTGGCACCTTCTTTACAATCGTTCCTTTTGAGTTACGAGGTCGTGGCTTGGGGTTTAGAGTCGCTCGACCAAACCTGAATAAACCCTGATGCCGACCACTAGCCTGCGCCCCCAAAGCCTCAGCCATGAATAATCAGATGTCCCAAGCCCAACATCTTGAAGCCCACACCCAGGTCTGACACTTCAGAAAGCCGAAACCAATCCACATGAACGTAGGTGCAATCATTGTGTGTGGGGTCGTGCACAAATGTGTGTTACAACTTACACAGATCCCCTAAGCCACAGAGCAACACGGCAAAATATTCCGTTGCAGAATGTTCCTTACATCAGCTAGTGGGAATCCGTCTAAGTTAATGCTACTGACTAGGGATCAGGGTATAAGTAAAGTCGGCGCTCCGGCAATCTCTGAAAACCCGATAGACCCCAAACGCTGAACCCTCAAGCCGAAACCCGCTACTGTAAGGGCCTTAATAAGTAGAATAGGGTTTTGGGGTATGCTGTATTAGAATCATAATACGGAACCCCCAAAATACTATAGGTAGTTAATTAGGCCCCTATATTATAAAAACAGAGAGACAGCGCCGAGCAGCTCCTGGGCTTGCCGGGGCAGTGCGCAACGGTGCCTTGGGATGGTTGAAGGTTTGAGGATTCATGTAGGGGCCTTAATAATTAGAATAGGGCTTTGGTGGTTCCTTATTCTAATTCTAGTATAATATACCCCAAACCCTATTCGAACTATTCAGGCCCCTATATGACTGTGGTGGGGGTTTCGGGCTGCTGTACGGGACAGGGATTCGCTAGCTGTCACTCCTTACGCGTGCTCGCTACAGCTGAATCGCCACCGTCACCACCACTATGACTACCCACTAGTGACTCGACCCCGACGCCAGTCAAATTACCCTCAATTTCCTAAATCTTAGACTTAGATAGACCTAGGGCTACCTTGAGTCTCAGGGTCCGATCCCTACTAGTACCCTACACCTAAACACCGAGATGCTAAACCCAAAAAGCAACCTGTCGACATAATGAGGGCGACTAATTAGACTAGGGTTTGGGGCTTAATAAGGGACAATAAAATTAAAAATTTAAGCTTCTACATTATCCCCAATGTGGCCACGCCAGAACCCTCCATGCTTGGAACCTTATAGGCTCTGGAGTTCTATCCTACGCCCACCAAAGCCCCGAACCGAAAGACCGTGAACACCTAAGAAAGAACACCTAAGAAAGATTAAGACTCCAGTCAGCCAGACCCTCAACCCATTCAGAAATGAATCCCGCAACCAAGTCAGTCCCCTGACGCCAAAACCTAAACCCCAACATGCTGCGTCTGCACCCAAAACCCCCTGGGCCTAGCCTCACGCACTCACCCTAAACCCGAAGCCCCTGAAGAAGCCCTTGTCAAAACACATGCCACTTCTAGAACCTTTATGACAACGCATAATGATTCGATAAACGCCATTTTCACATCCCAAACCCCTAAGCACCATACACTCAACCCTAGATTCCAGCCCCGGGGCTGTGAGTGCGCGCCGGAAGCCGGGATTGCTACTTGCCCGGAGAGTTCGTACAAAGTCGACCATGGCTCCTTCGTTGCGGCTTTGGGGTTTACCTGTCGCCCCAAAAAGCAAAAACCTCCGAACCTTGATTAAGGTTTAGGGTGTAGGGTTCACGGACAACTGCACTGGAGAATCCCCGAGAGATTCTCCAAGGTTCATGTTTATACTGTGTTTGTCTGTGGTGGAGGCTGCTGCTAGAGCGAGCATGCGTTTTTGAAATCCTGGACAAACTTGCTGAAGGAGGAGTTTGCGAACTCTTATGTTTTAGCTTTAGGCTTTGGATCTTGGGAACTCTAAACCCTACAATGTTACAACAGTAGTAATCAGTCACAAACCCTCCTTTTGCGAGGCTTGCGGGGAAGGCCTAAACGTTGACGCCGAACCCCGAAGCCTGATAGCCCGAAATCCTGATGTCCCTTGGAGGGCTGGGGTTTAGGGTTTAGGGTTAAGGGGTTTAGGATTTAGGGTTTAGGGTTTAGGGGTTTAGGATTTAAGCGTTTAGGGTTTAGGGTTTAGGGTTTAGGGGTTTAGGATTTAGGGGTTTAGGGTTTAGGGGTTTAGGGTTTAGGGGCTTAGGGTTTGGGGTTCCTACAGCACGTCCTGTGAAGCCGCCGTCCTTGCCCATGGACACTTCCCAGCTAGAGCCTTAGGAGATATCGCATGGCTTTCGTTCAAACGTTTCCGACACGAGCCCTATTTCTACTAGTAGGGCTCAGGGCCCTCGATTGAAAAACTCAAGCCCCATCGTCACAAGCCCTAACGCTCCAACATCAAGCCCTTTATCTTGATCATTTCTGGGATCTCTGACCGCGGTAGGCTATGGGCTACTTACCTCGAAACTTAGGTTTTGGGGCCCATAGACCCTCATTCTGAAAAGCGGGTTACTAACGACTGCTCGCGGTAGTTCCGCTTGCATGCTGCTGCTTCTCTCCTGCTCCTCAAATGACGACAATCAGTCGTACTCGCGTGCTCTCTTTTGCTCCCCTTTTGCTCTCTATGTAGGAGCCTCAATAGGGTTTGGGGGGGTATATTATACTATCACAATAATAAGGAACCCATAAGATAATATAAGTAAGTATTAAGGCCCCTATGTTAGTCGGCTTCTCTTGCCCTCATTGCCGCTCTGGTGTTCTGTGCCCCACTTCGTATGGAGGACGGCCCCACCTCGCCTACCGAGGATTGCACCCAACAGCTCTGATTCTCACAGGAAAGCCCAGCGGAGCCCTCGAACGGATTAAGGGCTTAGGGATTCAGATCCTGAGTGGTGAAATTTGATGACAAGCTGATTTGTGAAGCTTCGATATCTACAGCCGATCGGTTGAGAACCCGAAGCTCCAAAACCGGAGCATAAGCTGAGCCCCTGTTTCCGAAGCCCCGGTCCACTGAAACCCGCAAACCCTGAACACGACATGCGAGCCTTGTGAAATCTCTCCGAAACCCTAAACCCTATAACCCTGAACCCTATAACCCTAAACCCTAAGCCCTAAACCCTTATAAAGCCCCCCCCCTTCTCTGGGCTTGCGACGCCTTTCCATTTCGGCGGGAGCCTCCGCGGGCGTCAGTGACCTCTCTGACGCGAGTTGTCGGGCCCAGGGCTCAGGGTTTAGGGTTTTGGGTCGAGGATTTAGGGTTCAGGGTTTGGGGTCTAGGGTTTAGGGTTTGGGGTCTAGGGTTTAGGGTCTAGGGTCTAGGGTTTAGGGTTTAGGGTCTAGGGTCCAAGGTTTAGGGTTTAGNNTTAGGGTTTAGGGTTTCGGGTCTTACAGGCAACAAACCTGTAAGGTCTCAGGCTTAGGGTTCGCAAAGAGGCGGGAAAAGCGCTTGAGGTTCCGGGACAAAGCTGCGATTTCAAAGGAAGCCAAGAGTTTGTCCAAATGTTTTGGTCAAGCTTCAGAGTATCAGGGAGGGCCACTTTGTGTGAACAGTCTACTGAATCCTGTACGTCTCGAGATTCCCGACTTAGCTAACTCGTTGTGTTCTCAATATGGGATTTAGAACTTAGGTGTTAGGAACTTTGGGCATCGAAGATCTTAGCGTCAAAAAAGGTTCGCAACTACAGATGAGATGTGCCCAAGCAAACGGCTGCTGATGCTCATGATGCTGGCTGGCAGGGCTCGGAAACACGGCGGCGTTTGAAAACGGCTGTCCAGAAAACAAAAGCTGATGCCAGTGGCGGGAGAACTTCTGACAGGCTTCAGCTGATGCGTATGATGCCGGCCAGAATCGCCGTGACAGCCGAACAAGCTCTCCTTGCCGTTGCCTTGGCGACCATCAAAGCAAGCTGCAGCTGATGCTGATGATGCTTGCGG